ACACTGGTGACATCACAGTGACACTGGTGACATCATTAGGGACATTGGTGACTTCACAAGGACAAGGGTGGCATCATAGAGACACCAGTGACATCATCGAGGACACTGGTGACACCATAGGGGACAGTGGTGACATCACAGGGACAGTAGTGACATCATTGGGGACATTGTTGACATCACAGGGGACAGTGATAACACCGCGGAGACACCAGTGACATCAACAGGGCCATCTGTGACATCACAGGGGACATCAGTGCCATCACAAGGCCAGGTGTGACAACACAGAGACACTGGTGACATTATCAGTGGCACTGGTGACATCCCAGGGGATAGTTGTGACATCACAGAGACATCGTGACATCACTGGGGACCAGTGACCTCACAGGGGACTCCTGACAAGAAAGGGACAGCTGTTATGTCACAGGGCTATTGGTGACATCACAGGGGACTGTGGTGACATCACAGAGATACCAGTGACATCATCGGGGACCAGTGATATCCAAGAAACAACAGAGGGACAGCAATGATGTCACAGGGACAGTGATGACATCAAAGGTGTCTAGTGACATCACAGGGACATCGGTCACTTCACAGGGACATGGTGGCACTGCTGGGGACAGTGGTGATATCCCCGGGACAACAATGACATCACTGGAGACCAGTGACATCACAGGGGACTGCTTACAGAAATGTGAAAGCTGTGATGTCACTGGGACATTGGTGACATCAAAGGGGACAGTGGTGACATCATAGAGGAACCTGTGAAATCATAGGTGACTGTTGCCATCAAAGGGAAAGCTGTGATGTCACAGGGACATCAGTGACATCACAGGGACATGGTGCTACCGTTGGGGACAGTGGTGACATCACAGAGACAGCAATGGTATCCTTGGGGACCAGAAATATCAGTGGGCCTGGTGACAGGGACATCGATGACATCACAGGGGACCTGGATAACAACACAGAGACACCAGTGATATCACGGGGGACATTGGTGACATTACAGGGACAGCAGTGACATCATTGTGGACCAGTGACATCACAGAAGACTGGTGAGAACAAAGGGGCAGCTGTGATCTCCCAAGGACATCAGTGACATCATTGGGGACATTGGTGACTTCACAAGGACAGGGGTGACATGTCAGAGACACCAGTGATGTCATTGGTGACACTGGTGACATCACAGGGACAGC